CTGGAAATGAGACCAACTCCTCAGAGATGACGGAGATCTCTGAGCTGGTCGCTTCTCAACGGCTCAACGAGAGCCACATGCGTCTCATGGTGGCCACGAGGGAGGGGTACCAACCTTTAATTGAGGAGAAAACTGATTTTCCCGTGTCACCCACCCCAGTAGGAACGATACAGAAAAGACCCCGCAGTCCAACGCGACACCTCCACCCTCCAGCAGTTCCTCCGAGGCGGAGCCCCCTATTGGACACTGCTGCATCATCGGGGCCAGACACTTTGGTGTTGAGGACCCAGAATAACCTCTCAGCCACTCTCCAGCGCCCCAGTTCAACCACACCAGGAGGCAAGCATCACAAGAAGTCTGCAGACTCCAGCGGGAAGTACAACACCTTCAGCACAAGGGAGGGGCATCGGGGTGAGGCCGGTGGGAGCCGCGTCCATCTGGAAATGGACCAGCGCACTTCCTTCTGCGAGCGAGGGGAAAGTCAAAGAAGACAGAACTCTTTTTTGGGAGAAAGTTCTGCAGCTGAGGGCGTTGCAATGAACAGCCTCCCCCGGGAGCAGCACAGACTCCCCCGCCCTCCCTCCGCCTCCTCCAATCGCATGTTAGATGCTGTCAACTTGGGGGACTGCGGGGCAGATAACGGAGCGGCAGCTGTCGAGCAAGACGAACATTTAGTCGTTGCTTCACTGCTCTCCCCGACCAAACAGGGATCAGACGTACAGAACGACCATCAGCCCATCTCCAGACAACAGAGTGTAGCACGCTTGTGTGAGTACCATCTGGCAAAAAGGATTTCAAATTTGCAAGGAGAAGCCCACAGTTCACTGCAGGGGTCTCTGTGCTCCTCACTGGATGCGGGAGGCAGCACCAACAGCAGTGCCTGCGCCACCCCCACCGACTCCCCGGTCGGTGCCGGTGCAGTTGAAGCAAAACACCGGCATTCGCAAAGACACCCGCTTTCTAGTTCCTCCTCCTCATTGCTCAGGGTGCTAAACCATGAAGACAACAAACCTGGGATGTCTCGCGGGCTCTCCAGCCAGAGCGCTCAAGGAAAGGACCTCCACCCTCATGCGGATCCGGCCCTCCTACGGAAAATGCTGCCCAACATTCACCCTCCGGCTGCCGGGGCTGAACCAGGCCGGCCCTCCTCAGCCACGGCGTCTAAGCATAAAGAGACCACAGGTACTGGGAGCAAGAGACCCCACAATGATGTGCATGCTAAGCAACAGGCCTGTTTAAAGGGGCTGAACCAGAAGGAGGGCAGTGAGGCCTACAGACAACTGATTAACTATCTAACAGTCAGCCAGATGCATCAGGGAGGGAAGCTGCACAGTGCAGGCATGGGAGGGGCAGTAAAGAAGGACACCAGGCGCTTTATCACTAGTAACCCTCAGCTGGTGGAAATGGTTAAGAATAGGAGCAACACCATTGCTCGCTGCCCGTGTATGCCTTCCTCAATATCATCCCCGTTCCTCAGCCCAAATGTAGTAACCCCTAATGCGAACCCCATGCAGCTGGCAAATAGAAACCCTCAGTCATACCATTCTGCCACCCTTCCTGCCAAACTCAAGGGAAGTCTCGACATGCATGCTCAGAGACTGAATGAGAGTCTAGATTTAAGGGCAGCTGCGGCTGAGAGGAGAAGCTCCTTTTCGGGCCTGGAGAGTGAACTAGAGAGGAGTGGTATGGACCCAGAGCACTTCCTTTCACTTTATAAGAGAGAGGGCTGTATCAGTCGCGATGGGGGATTCAATACAGTTGGAAACCGTGATGGTGGGGGTACCAATAACCGTCCCCCACCTCGGTCAAGAAGCCAACCTAGTAACAGCAATGAGGAATGGTTCAGGTCAGACCCGAGGGCAAAGCATGCGGTCCGTCAGTCCCCTCATTCTCGTCCTAATGATTCTCTCTGTTTCTCTGCCGCCCCCAGTGTAAGTGGTCAACGGGCAGACCTCAACACCGTCTCTCTAGGAAGGGGAGACCACCCTTCAGCTTTTAGCAGGCAGATATCTACCGGCAATAGGGCTTGCATTACATCTCCAACTCCCAACCTACCTCCTCCACCACCTCCCACACCACCTCCTCCACCTCCTTTGTCTTCTCCCTTGCAAGCCAATGCTATCTCCAGCAACTGCACGCAGGATAACATGCCCTATTGTGTCCAGGCACGGCAGAACCACATTCAGGCCGTAAACCCGCAGACGGACCCCTTCTGCAATAACCTGCAACGGGGCCGGGAGCTCAGGCGCAGCACCAGCAACGTGAATGGCAGCTCTGGGAGCATGGAGGCTCTGTTCGATAAGCCCACACGGAGCCGGAGCCAGCAGCCGTTGTCACCATCTGTGCCCCAGCAAGGTGAGACCAAAGTCCAGCGAAGGCCCACGAGGAAGCGGCTCTCCAAGAGCTACTCCCAGGGCTCCGTGTCTTCCCACACATGCTGGTCTACCGGCAGCAGGATGGACAGCAGAAGGGCTTCTGTGGCATTTCCATTGCAGAAACACATGAAGGGCTCCCAAAAACTAGACACCAGTCCCTGGAGATGCAACGGGCCCTTTAGCTACTGCTTCTTCAAACCTAAGAGTGAGGGAGAGGAGGATGAAATCGAGTGGGAGAGTACCAGAAGAAGCCGTGGTGGGAGCGATATTGATAATGGCGGTGCAGCTGCAGCCATGTCGCCCTGTGGGGCAGCCGTGGATGTAGCTGGAGAGCAGCTGTATGGAGAGGTCCTCAATAACATGAGCTTCAGCGACCGGCTCGCACGAATCAACGCACTCAAGGACCGAATGTACGGCTTCCCTTCCGGCTTCATCGATGTCCGACGAGACGCCAGCGAGCTCATCGCTCTGGTGAGATCCAGCGTAGGTCGCTGCGATCGTGGAGCCCAGATGCCCCTCCAGGATGTTTCCCAGTACAAGCAGCTCCTCTCTGTGGAGTCGAAGGAATTAGGCCGGGCATGCCGCAGGATGGCGCAGGCTCACAGCAGTCCTGAGGAGATGCTGCTAGCTGTGACGTGTAGCTTCCAGGTGCTGTGCTGTCTCTGCGAGGCCTGCATGTGTCTGGTCAGGGGGCTCGGAGCTTCAGCCTCACACCAACAGAGAGAGGTCGTGGCAAAGGTGGACGAGGTTGTGATGAACTATATCTGTCTGCTCAAAGCGGCTGAGGCTGCCACCGTGGGAGCCCCAGGGGAGCACAGCGTGAAGGCCCTGGTCCGCCACTCCAGCACCATGTCGGCAATTGCTAACGCACTCACCCGCTCCCTTAAAACGCTGCTTAGCAAGTAGAGGCTACTCTTTATGCTCTATAGTGTGGCCTACGCAGTCAGTAGAAGTCTGTCTTTAAGCATCCTGTTAGTTCAGCTGGATATATTTTTCATACAAGGTCTAGACGATCTCCATGTTAAAACCAATAAAGTGTAGTTGCAGTTTAACATTACACAAAATAATGAGTATGATGCTGAAAGGCAGTCCCGTCTGACTGCCCTTGCTTTTTTCTGATGACAATATTGTAATGTTTATTTACAAAGCCATACTGTCACAGACCTTTGTAATATCATATGTACCTAATAGATACTCTTTTACCTGTGCATTATGTAACTTATTTAAAAAAATGTATATAATGTACATAAATACAATATATAACTATATTATTTGCCGTAGCAGTGTCAAGAAGCAAATGAGCTTAATTTGCTCTAATTGTACCATGCTGGAATAATTCACTTTCAGTTCAATCAGTTCAATAAGTGCAGTTTTACTACAGATATTTATAATCAACCTGTGGAAATGTGTCACTGTCAGTCAAGTGAGGAAAGTGTGGTGGTTTCTTGAAAGATAAGAGAAATATTTGTCAGAAATGTTGAAAATACTGCACTCACAGCTTCATCATTTACCACATAGATTATTTTCAGAATTATAAACAGTATATATATAAAAAAAAAGGTAAATATATATAAGTATAATATGTTAATATTACAAATCTAGATTTTTTTATTTGTTACAAAATATGTCAGATTGACCACTGTGTTAATTATCTCTAATAATTTATTTATATAGGTTTTTGTGTTTTATTATCTCCTGTTTTGGAATAAATTCTGTGCTCGAATTATTTATTATTCCACACTCTGTATCAGGATGCAGTTATGTCTCTTGAGAAGAAATATAATTCCTGTTTGTTTTTTCAATAATCCACAAACCTATTAAAAAACATTTTACAGATATGTTTGCCATCTGTCTCTTGGTTTTAATGGTTTAATGTAACATACATACGCACAGTGTGATACTATTAAAAATATATTCTATTATGAGGCTTATCATATTAAATATCCATTGCCTATTTATTTGGATTTAAGGTAGAAGAAGTAGCAGTTTATTCGTTAAAAGTATAGGGTTGAATAAATGATATGGGGTAACTTGAGTGAATAAGAATCGAGGGTTATGTGTTGTCATTATTCCTCTACTAAAATAAAATGTGTATGAGTAGCTCCAGCTGATGGAAAACAAATAGACACCACTACACCAACAAACAAGGAAGAATTATGGTGAGCAATTTTTAAAACAAAAATAAATGCACTGACTGAGGCATGTGAGTATGGACATATTATTACAAATATGTGGGTTTAAAATTCATTTTTAGCAACATTAATATTAAAATAGGACACACATTTAATGACAGATAATGGATACTCCATGCAGTCTTTACTTCAGATGCATTAACAAACTCTACCAATACTGATATTTAAATGAATGTAAAACAACTTATTAGCACCATTATACATCCATGATTAGCACTACAATGCGAGTGTGTGCTCGTTTATATACAGTCTATGGTTTGTGCTCGTTTGTGCACGAGCCAAGCGTGTGTTCGTCACGTGATCATGTTCCCAACCAGCGCAGCTGTGGGGGAAGGACCTCATTAGCATTTTGGGCGCCTGTTCTCCACATGCTGCAACGTCAACCAATCAGATCGCCCCATTCACGACCCCGCGGCCCCTCGTGTCGCGCGCTTCATAAGCATAGTACTGGCGGTGAAGCAGACAAAAAGTTATCTCTCTTCACCTCCTGCTGCAGGGTTTACTAGAGCAGGGACTTTTTGTAGTTAAGTTCAAGCACTTTTTTACTTTGTAGTGGGTATTAGCGAGCTTTATAACAGCACTGACGCGTATGAAGGAGTTTAATAGTTGAAGTTATCTACTGTTACCGTGGAAAAGTTACTGTCGGTACCCCGTGGGGTTTAAAGTTCAGCTAGCGTCTCTGGCTGCTAGCAGGTAGTTAGCTCCGTAATTAACAGAATACTTTTAAAACTATGGCAGCTTTGTGTCAGCCACGACGGGCATTGGTGGAAATCCCTGCTCCACAACCCAAAATTGCAGGTAAGCCTTTAATAGTTTTAATTTAGGCTTTACATAGTCCTGTTATATGTGTTCTTTGTGCAAGACGCGCCACTTTGCTATCATGCTAATGTTTAACAGGAGCGCGCCTACAGGACTAGTAGGCGGTTAATATACTATCAACACAGCTGTCAGTTTATCCAACGATAGAATGGGACATCCTTATTTCATATGCATTATCTAGTCTGTTTATAAGATGCTGTGTGTTGTGAAAAAATTAAATCAAATCAAGTTTTATTTATATAGCACATTTATAAACGATTTTTGGTCGAGCCAAAGTGCTGTACATAAAATAAAAATAGCCTACAGTAGAGACACTAAGAATATGAAACATTGTTACATTATTTTCCCTTTTTTCTTTGTAACAGCTCGCGTAAGGAGGTCCTATCTAGAGATGTTAAGTGCTCGTTTGGTTCCATCTCCACTTCTGAGAGGGAGAAATGCAACTTCAAACACAAGGCGTGTGCACTCATGTAAGTATGAACCTGCAAATATAACATGTGGTTGGTTTTTTGAGCCTTCTCAGGGATTATTGTTGTCCTCTTCATTGTCTAACCATATTATTTGTGTTTTTGCAGTGGACTTGTCCATTGGTGGTGTGTGGAGTAAGAGGTTAGAGGAGCAGTGTGAGAAGATGGAGGAGCACCATACCCCTCTCTCTAAACAGCAGCTCGTACAGCTGATCAGATCCCTCATACTAGTTGAACAGGTACACACCCTGGTCATTTCACATGACTGTTATTTAAGATGAAATGTTTTACATCCTATGTGAGTAATAACCCAACTCTGAGCCTTCACTACATACATCTAATCTGAAATGTGTATTTCATCCTAGAGCCAAGAACCCCGAGTCATAGCGTCTGACCTGAAATATCTCCAGGAAGACCTGCAGCTGAAGAAAGCAAATGTTTACAGATCCATCCCCTACTCGCGGCTCGGCTCCAACAGGGACGCTCACTGCTACAGAAAAGCATATCCTCACCTGGTGGCCTTTAAAGTGAGTATATGGGGTTTTTAGGAATGTTTTGATAAACTTTGCAGATTTAATTAACTTGTAAACTGTCTCTGGCTGCAGCGTTAAATTCTTCTTTTTTTAAATCAAAATTGCAATATGGCCTAGTGCAATAATCTTTTTAGACTTTAAAGTCCCCTCTGCTGTTCCTTTCTCATTGAGCATTTCTAAAAGACAATTACTTAGTTTGGCGTTATGTTTTTTTCCCGTTTACTGTTAATAAAAGCTCTGCCATGTTTACTGGAGTGTCTCACGGTGTAGTGCTAAGTTTCCTCTTCCTCCCGCTCAGGTTTCGTGTCAGGAGTGGGGCCAGGTTCTTCTGAGGAACAAAGAGTGGGATGCTGTTTTGGAGCACGCGTTGTTGGCGTGGCGATACACCAGCGAGTTGCCGCAGTGGGACACAGCGAACCATAATGCTCTGAGAGAACAGTGTTACAGCATCTTGACCTCTCACAGCCTCACGGCCCTGCAGCACCACCGGCCTGAAGCCAGCAGAGGCCGCGAGCTGCTCAGAAGGTAACACTTTGAGAGCCTGAAAACAGTCCACACACAGGTCTTAGCTGATAGCGTGTCAATGATCACACAAATTACATCAGTTATAAAAAGATTACGTTTTGCATACAATGTGTTTGTTTTATCCTTATCTGTCCTTCCTATCTAACACACTATGTTTCTCTCTCTCCAGGTTCAACATGGCTCAGATGCACAGCCAGTCGATTGCGCCCTGTATCCACGAGTTGCAGAGGATTATGGGTTGTGCTGATGACTCCTCCATGGAGACAAAATAACTTGAGAAACACCATGAAACCAGCTGGCTGCACCCCCAGTGAAGAGTGACTCATGGATGAATTACATAATCTGTGTGCCAAAAACAGCGTAGATGGTGGTGTTTGTTTGGAGCAATATTCCTCAAAGAGCAAGAGTGTAATGACGCCTCTTATTTAATCACATTATTAAATCAACTGGAGAGTATTGTTGGGAATGTGACATTTGCTGCATGGCATACCTCATGATGTATTTATCGCTGGTTAATGTCACGTAATGTACATGCATTAACCAACAGCCTGAAAACATGCTGCGATCAGATGGTGCTGCCTTTGATGTATAATTTAATAGTTTGTATATTTTTAGACGTTGTATGAAAAAATGTTTGCGTTGACTGTTGAAATGTAAAGGTATGAAATGGCCGTGTGTGTACGTACTTGAAACTGTTTGACTGTAGTTGTGTTTTTACATTTGTCTTGTTAATAGAAAATGTTCTATGTCGATGATTGCACTCCTGCCATTTGTCCTAAAAAACTTGAACTCTTTTGATTAAAAAAAAAAAAGACTTTTCAATAAAGTAATGACTATTTAAAAACTATTGTTCCTTTGTTGTGTTTTTGCCTTAATGCCTGCATTTTTCAAAATAGTTTTCTCAGGCTTTGATGATGACTATAAATCAGTTTTTCCTATAGTTAATTAGATCACAAACCATATCATGTCTTTCTGTAGTATAAATGACCATGCGTCATATCGTATGCTGTAAATCTAGCTTTTCTCTGGAATGGATTAGCAGGCCGTGGATGTTGATTAGGAGGCCGGACTGCTGATTTGTAAACTGTGGAGTTTGTAAAGGCCCTTGATTGCAGACTGCTGCTCCTAAAAGACGGGACATTGTAGTAGATAATGGGATTAATCAATCAATGGACTGATCATTTGTCCTCTGGCAGTGTGAGCGCTGCTGCTTCAGTTACCATTTTACACCACTAGGTGGAGCCAACGTCGCACCGTTTCCCACATCCAGTGTCATAATACTCAGGGCTTCTGACTGAAATGAAGAAGCAATGTCAAAACCAATGTAGAAACAGCTGTTTCCATGGCTCTGTAGAGTGAATATTAAATACTTTTAAAATGCCATTTAGGGTTCAACTTAATGAATGGGAGGCATAAAGGGTGAGGAGGTGTTGGCTGACATGCTGACTTCCTGCTGTGCCAGAAATAAGAAGGGATGTTATTCTATTCTAGGGTGACCAGACGTCCCCGTTTTCCGGGGACAGTCCCCGTTTGTATTGGCCTGTCCCAATCTGTTGAAACTGTCCCCGGAAATGTCACTGTTTTTTAATATACGTTAAAAACACATAGCAAGGTGAAATAAAACGTTTCATGTCAGGAAACACTAGGTAAACAGACTGTGGTCAAGCCAGCCCCCACTTCGGAAAACACAGTCAAGCCAGCCCACAGGTTGTATTGCGGTGCGCGAATACCCTATGGTCGAGGCCTGTAAAAACTGCCTTCAAAATAAAAGCGTTTACTCGGTCAATAACAAATATACCTAAAAAACACACCAAACATATTCATATACTGGAGCTTAAATTAAGAAATATGTAATGTGATCAATAATCATTTAAAACAAACTACGTATAACTACCACATTATAACTGAGTGAATGTAAAATGTAAGGATACAGTTATGAAGACTTATCTGACATTTCCACTGGGTGACTAATTTCAATTGATGTTGACACCATCTCACAACACTCCTAAAATAACATTACTTTCTGAAGCACAATTTAAAATGTATGCTGTTTAAAATCTCAAATTAGATCTATTGTCCATCTATATTTTGATTATTATTTAATGGAAACCGTCCATAATCAAAGAGTCATTCGAAGTCAATCAAATACTTATTTCACGTCAGGGTGATAGCAGGAGACCCCATCTAGTCAATCAGAGAAAATCAGGACAATCTGATATAGAGTTTCAAAATAAAATACTTTTGAAATCTCATATATGGGCTATCGTCCTTCTGTTTTATACAAGAATAAATAAAAAACTGTCAAATCATCAAAGACTTATTTCACTTCAGGGTGATAGCAGGACACCCCATCTAGTCACTCAGAGAGAATCAGGACAATCTGATGTAGAGTTTCAAAATAAAAGACCTTTGAAGTCTCTATGAGCTATCGTCCTTCTGTTTGTATCCAACAGTTAAAATGTCCGAATTACATTGAACCAGAATTGTCCCCCTTTTTTTCTTTAACAGTGAAGAAAATTGGATATGTTAATGATTATTAATGTATTAATACATGTATTTGTCTCCAGGGTGTTGTAGGGAGTGGGAAATAGTGAGATTACAGCCATGGCAAGTTAATATTTGCAAATGTAACAGATGTATAGATACACTCTTTGGTGTTGATGTCTTGCTCTATATTTTGTTCCTCATTACAGAAATAATAACAAAATAGGGGATAATCCCAGTGTTTGTCTAAACCACCACCATCATCGTACATTATTCATGGCCTGGTTCTCCCCTAAGAAGAGACCCAAGCAAATGTTCTTTAAAGCGTTATCCAGAGTTTTTCCTGCAGCTTCTTTAGAGGCTACTAAGAGATGTTTAGTAAATTCAGAAAGACAGGATCTAATGTGCAACAAGGAGTGTTTATTGGTAAGCAATATAGCTAACTGGTCTTGGCAGTGAAGAAGAAACAACCCTTTAAATAAGTCCAAGGCACACTGAAGAAGAAGAAGTGTAGAAGGTAAAATGCTTTCATTACAACATGGCGGCAGATATAATATAATATAAAAAACAACCCCAATGCATTACTGGTCCCCTGTGCCTTCACTGCAGTACAACATCGCAGAGCTAGCAGCTACAAAGACACACCTCCCTGTGCACGGCTGTCTGTATCATAGTGCTGTAAATCCTCTATTTTAACTCCCCACACAGAACTCCAGTCAGTGTGTTCAAAATCAGCAACACTTTATATTCTGCCACTTTGGTTAACCCAGGAGAAAATGCAAGAATATTTAAGAATTCATGCTTGGCTTCCAAAACAGTGACAACATATTTTGTCGTCTAAAATGGAAGACTATACTATTTTCATTTGTTTGTCATGAAATATGGTCTTTGGCAATGGCTGCCAGATTTTGAAAAACAACCAAAGTTAAGAAACAAAGTTAAAATAAAGACCTTTTTGAACATTAAAGCATAAAAATGTCACAGTAGAGGCACAACATACACATATATATGAAAATGAGCAAAATAGAGCCACTTTAAAGAGATAGGAACAATGTAGAACATCTTTAAAAATAGATGAGGAATGGGTGGAGGAAACTGGGTGTACAAAAACAGTAAGTTACAACCCTTGTGTTCACATGGATTGACTAATTCCCTCTCGTAGATTGTGAAGTTTACATTGGTGCTCTTTAGATCCTCCTCAGCCCTCTGATGAGGGGCTGATTTACACCTGGTGAGTGTAATTAGCAGCAATTAGCTAGCTGTGAGGATAGAAAAGCAGCACTGCCGAGTCCAGAGGAGCCACAGAAGCGACTGAGAATGAGTGAGTGAACCTACTGAGTGTTTGTTCATGACTCCAATAGCTTTACGTTGCTATATTCCTCTCACAGGCATCTGCACTGTCATTCAAACATCTGTCGCTGCAGCTCAGGCAAATAGCTGAAAGAGAATTACAAAGGGCTGTGCAGCACTGATAAGAGCAGAAAGAGTGGTTCCTAAGTACTGCATATGACCTTTACAGTCTCCTTTTCTCAAAGCTTAATACTGTCTTACAGTAGAAGCTTCCTTTTTAGTGCTTTCGTTCAAATTGCTGTGGGCTGGTGATGCCTGTTATTTAATTCCCCAAATGATCACTTCGATATATAATGCATAAACTATACGTGTTCATAGTTTTCCCATCTGTGACCTATAACAGCCCCCAAACAGTTGAAAATGTCAGGACTCCACTGAGATAGGCTCTATTTTTGATTGGTGGATATTCATTGCAGGGCTTTATCATTCACAAGGGATTACTTTTGAAAAGATACATGTATTTTAAACAGTGTGAACATTTGAATAATGGTCCCTCAGGCCTTCATTTGCATTATTGTGTGTTCTAGATCTAAATTAGTCAATAGATTATTTCATATCAGACATTTTTACATATCATAAAAACAAGCATGGCTGCATACCATTCAGATTCCAGGGCCCTGGCATGCTGGCTCTCTGTGTTGGCTTATTGAAATGGAACAGAGCCATTGTTAACGTTATGTGCAACACTCATGCACTTCCTGCTGTGACAACTCAAAATGCTGCGGATAAGGTTATTACAAAAATAATTAATAATTATAAACTGCATACTGTTATTATACTTGTATGTAGTTTTTGTAGTTTACTGGTTTTTACTGAAAGCAGTGATGTTTGGTTGTGTAAAGGCGTAGTTTGCTATTTAGAATAATATGTGCCTACTGTATTCGTTCTTGCAAAGATGCAATTGCTAGTGTCAGATGTTTACAGTAGCAAAGCACGAGAAATGCTTGGAGGCGGATTTTGGTATGTTTTAGGGTGTTTGTTGTCGTTGTGCTCAGCTAACTAGCCGCTAGCTCCATCTTTATATTGCATATTGATCTTACAGACATGAGAGAGGAAGTGAGTGGTTTTCCCAAAATGTTTGCCTTTCCACAAAAACCTATATTACACACTACAGGAAAGGGTAAACCCCAAAAAGCTTAAGAGGGCCCTTTAGAGCACGATGGGTCACTTAAACCACCTGTATTTTTTTTAGCCAATAATGTATGTCAATTTGTATTTCATTGTTAGTAAAGCATGGATACACTTTCCATTTATACCCTCAAAGAGGATATTTCCGGTGAGGGAGCCAAGTATTTTTGCTTGAGAGCTGTTTTAGTTTTTTTCACCAACTGAAGAGCGAAGCAATTTGTTCGGTGGCAAAATGTCAAGAGAAATGAGTGAGCTCTATCAAATCCTGAGAACCAGTCCAGTGGGAATCAAAATACGCAGTGAGTTTTTGGAGAGTTTTGCCCCCTGTGATTCAATTTAGTATAAGTCCCTGAACAGTGGAAAAATACCGAAAACATATGGTTGTTTTTTTTCCACCTGTGTCATCGAAACCCAGACTCAGTTGGCTGATATTTAAGGAGGATGAACTTTACCTGCTCCAGGATTCAGATATTTAAGTGACTTGGACACTAAGCATATTACAATATTTTTGACCGGGGACAAAGAGTGAGCATCATTCATCGGGATGTGTTTCTGAGGGAATAAATGACCACGTAATGGCCCTGTCAAAACGAATTACGTCAAGCTGTTTTAGATGACCCATGTCTATTGCCTTAACGGCAAATGTTTAAAATGCAAGTTGATTCTGAGGGCCCCTCAGGTCATTGGAAGCAGGTGCTCATGAATAAAGAGGATGTTAAATATGCGTGAAGATATTAATTACAAGCCAGATTTCTTTTTTTATTACAAGTTGCATTTAGCAGTGCTGTCGATACACTTCTTTTAGTGATTGTCTCGCTCGTTGCTTTCCATCCTATGAGTTATTCATGTTTTATTATATTTGTCTATTTATATATTACCCAG